ACCAATTATTAGATTCATTCCCTGTCCATCATCAGCATTACCGACTCCGGTGAAATCTACCAGATCGACCGCTGTCCAAGCATGAAAAAAACGCCTCCAGACCTGTTAAGTATCATCATATTATTTGAATATGCTTACCCTCTAGCACTGAGAGCACTGATAGGGTGAGACAGCATTCATAATTGCACCGTAACTTTCCATAAACTGCCTACGCTAATAGATTCCCGAGGAAATCGTTATTTTACTATCGGTCCCCAAAAAAAATTCAGGTGATTCTCTACTCCTGTCGTATTCTTAGCAAACCTGAAACCGTAATAATTTTTTATACAACCTAAAATTCACCGTAGGCATCCTAAGACTACGACGGAATTTAAAATAACATTCATGCCAACCACTGACCAGTAATCGCTTTATAATAACCAAACCAAATGCACTAGGATGCTGTCATTCGTCTTCTTTGTTTTTCGCCGATAAACTCTCTACACTGCCAACGTTCTCACCCTTCAGACAAGCTGGTGACTCCCCATCATGCAGTGGCTTTGCATGTAAGTCCTTCCTGTAAATTTCCCCATGAAGGTAAGCGATTCTAAATAAAGTTTTGACTGCTGTCGGTGGAACCTTATATCATGTGAATTTAGGCCACTGTCAAATACGCACAAGCTAAAAGAATGTATTTCAGTAACTGTTCGAACGACTTCAGTTTCAGTTACTGCCAAACCAGCGGGACCGTCTGGAACAAGTCGTGAACTCTAAGGACTGATCGAGTATGTGTATGATATGTGCTTACCTAGCGCTCTTCAGAGTGCCATACTCTTCAGTTCCAGCTAACTGGCTTGGAACCTTTGTTTCTTGCTTATCCTAGGAGCACACACTTTTCGAACTACCATCCTGGAAAAAATGGTCGAGTCATGATTAGAGGGAGGATTTTGGTACAATTCAAAAACTATGGGGGATCTCCCGTTCTTTGCTGACCGTAGGGAGAGAAGCCTAATAACTCCGAATATAAGGAAATCCAGTAAGAGTTACTTTCCGAATATGTTATTCAAGTGATACGCGCCTACTGCAGGGCTAAACCTCACGCTCATGTAGAACACCTGCAAGGCTGTTTACTGACTAACTATAAGTAGGTAGTATTTTTTCCAAAATAGTTCGCATGGATATTTGACGGTCAAGCGTCATCTAGTGTAGCATATCGCATCCCCGTGAGTCTGGCGTAACTGCGCAAGTTACCGAGGCCCTATTATCTTTCAGCGAATTTTATTGCCCGCCAACACTGCACGAACTACGGGTGTCTCAGGGAAAAGATGAAAGGATTGATGTGTTTCTGCAAATCGATGAAATTCACCGCTCCTTTTGAACCAAAACAACCAACAAACGCCGACAGTCAGGTTAGTTGTAAATGAATGTTTTGATTGAGTCAGTCTGAAGGGAAAGAAGTTAAAGACGCCCTAACCAGTCGATATTCGTAGGGCAGTTCTATTTAATAATAATTTTCATAAAACTCTCACCTGAAGCCGAGATGAAACAAAAGGCATCAATTTACTACAACTGACTTCACAAATTCGACAAAAAATGGAGGCTAGATCAAATTTTAATAGATCAATCGATTATATTTCCGAAATTCCCCAAAATATTTTGCGACTTATAACGATTGCGTTACCTACCTTAGGTGTTTATGAGTCAACCTGCATACAGGCAATATCGCTCGAATTTGCCAAATGTCTGTGTCGCATACGTGTAATATCTAAAGGGTACCGTGAATACCCAGGCAGATGATCCGGGCAGTCCTATTTTTTCTAAATACTATCAATGCATGCTTGAAGAACTCCATGTAATACCCTTTCTTTACTGGTATCTAGCAGTCCAACTGTACTTGTTTTTGCGAGCCTGCGACCACTCGTTCTAATTCAATGTTCGTCTGTCTAATTATCATTTGGCCTTCCAAATTTGTACTGAACATTCGGCATTCCCACAGACCAACCTTTTGACCCTCTGCACAAACACGGAAAACAAGGTTTGGATTGAACCGATCAAGCTGTGGAATAGAGCACGTCGCAGCCTAAAGCTTCTTAAGGTTAGTTAATCGCCCCAGTTACATTGCATTTTGCTTTCTGCCGGGCAAGAGACAAGTGCTAAGCAGAACATCAAAACAATTTGGCGACTGAGACGTCGTTTATTGTTAAATAGTTTTACTACTTATCATTTTCTTCGTAACCTTTCCCCCACTGTCGTCCCCCTGCATGCAGCTTCCCCCCCCCTCATTCTGCTCATGCTGCTCACTCTCCCCGTCCTCCTC